CCCCCCCCCCCCCCCCCCCCCCCGTCACGACACTCGCGTAACATAAACAGCCATCTTCGCTCACCGCACCTCAGTCGCTCCATCCACGGCTTGAATACCAACAGTTACAATAGCGTGCTACAATCAATCCCTAAACCCAACCTAAACCCTATTACCACCATACAGTTAAACCCCCGGTAGGGTAGCATTAGGCCAGACCCGCCGCCTTCGCCAGAGTACACTGGAGCGTCCAATAACCTCGACCATCCATTAATCTCGCACGCGGAATATCTACAACGAGGGACACTAAGGACCCAGTGACGAACACATCGCCCCCCTCTCTCCCTCTCCTTGTGTCTCTGCCAGTCTGTGGACAAAGATCGAGGGAGAATGGGTGCAAATGCCCGTCTTCATTCGACCCGGTGTATAGTGATACTGACGTCCTGGACGAAGAGGGTGATGACAACACAAATCGTGAACAAACAAAGAAACAATCACTCATAAGGATAGACACATCAGGATCTATCGTGTCTGTACCAGATCAAGTGATACCATGGTACCTGGAGACGGAATGTCTTCCAACATCAGACAACTCGTCTAACGCCGCTGCTTCTTCGGCGATAAATGGCCAAAAAAATATCCATCTCTGCTTCTTTCAAAGGAATCAACAGATCACGATCCTGCATCACTGTCGCTGTGTCACAGCACAGCAATGCCCTGGGGATGTCAAGGCCTCTCCCACTCGGTGTAACCAGCCCCCAAACGCCTTCAGAAGGAAGCTCGTTTCGGGGTTACAAGTTCCAAAACACACGACACTGCACAACATGCCATCAACACAGCGAGCAACCTCTCAAAACACGCCATGTCTACAACACCCCCACGTCGCCTGCATACTATGCACGCGCACGCGGACGTCCATCTATCCTTAGGTGCACATATGATGATGATTAGATACGCGTACAACGGAGGGAACACAAAACCGCCCTCGAAGGACGAAACCGCAAAAGGGCAACACCCACTTCCAATCTCCCATACCCCGCGCACATTCACGACTTGTCGCCAAGGGACTCGACATGCCGTTACACCAACTCTTCGGATAGACTATACGCCATCGCCGTTCGTGTGACGAACATCACACCAACCGCACACTTTTCGCCTCCGTTCAAATGAATAGCCCGGCTGACCTCTAGAGTGGTACATGGACGGACTATGTAATGTATTGTAAGAACTGATTAATGTAGATCTCCACGAATCTCAAGAGTTGTCCACGTTAAAACCAAGCGCAGCTTGCACACTTTTTAAATTACAGGCACACGAAAAGACACACTGGGTATAAATGTTAACCTGCACACGTACGCACGTTTCACATGGGTCAGCAGCACTATTTTCACAAATACATTTATCACACAAGCGGTGGAACAACATCTACACCCTCACACCCTCTCTCCTTTCGATTCCCACTCCCGTCCCTTCCCTTCCCTGTCGCGTGCCTCTCTAGCATCTCTTTTCCTTCCAAGAAACCAAGACACCAACAGCGAGTAAATAGTGGTGGTGACACCAACCGTTAACACGGAAAAACGGCCCTTCCTCGGACAAATACAGTAAGTAGCCCTTCTTCTCAGGCAAAAAAAAACAAAATCGACAAGCTATGTATCGTCTTTTCCGTTCGATGTAAAACTAGACCCTACTCAACAAGCCCCATTGCTCTGTATTTGACAGGACGGTACCTGGCAGTACTCAGTCTATGTTGCCACACAATCGACACTCTCCGATGTATCCGTATGTATGTGTGCGAAATTCATCAGTAGAAAAGAGCCTTCTCCTAGTGTGGGCAGGCACTCGCGGGGCGTGTCCCGGACTCAGCCGCGCTTCGCCGCCCGGATCTCCGCCAGGAGACCGCCCATGCCGGCCGGCCCTTGGCCAGCGCCGTTCTGTGTGCCGCCGCCGCCTCCTCCTCGGACCCCGCGGGCGCGGATCTCCGCCAGGAGACCGCCCACGCCGGCCGGCGCTTGGCTACCGCCGCTCTGTGTGCCCCAGCCGCCGCCGCCGCCGACTTCTCCGCGGGCCCGGATCTTCGACAGCATTCCCAGCATCGACCCCGGCGGGGGCGGCGGCGTGGGAGGGCAGGCCGCCGGTCGAGCGAGAGCCGTCGCCGCGTGGCGGTGCTCGCGGACAGGAAGACGCGGAAGAACTTCGACTTGGGCTTCCACGACGTCGCGGCGGCGATGCCCGCGGCCTTCTCGCCGATGGCCCGCTGCGGCCGGGGGGTAGTGGCGGCAGGAGTAGTGCCCGGGGGCGGGGCCCGTCTGTGCAGGGTCTTGCTCAGCGTCTTCTCCAGGACGGTGCCGAAGGCCTTGATGCGGACGTTGGCGTCCCCGAGGCCCGAGCCGCCGTCAACCGAAGCCTTCTCTCCCGCCGCTGCTTCTTCCCCGTCCGCATCGACGCCGATGTCATCGCCACCAGCGCCGGTGGTGCTCTTGCCGCCGCCGTCCTCCGACGCCCCTACCGCTACCGCCGCCGCCGGCATGAGGAGGAGACCCTGGCGAGCTCTTCCTTCCGGGTTTTCGCCTCCTCGTCCGCAGTGACGAACCGCAGAGACCTGCTCTTGTCGCTCCGCCTTCACCTTAGCTCGGGGGTAGGGTCGAATGCTCCCTCCACCTCCGACCCCTTGGCCACCTCCACCTCCCCCTCGTCCTCATTCTCGTCCACCGCAGCCGCCGCGCTCGCCGGGCCGTCATCTTCACATGCCGGGGTGCTGGGGGTAGCGGTAGTGGTAGAGGCGGGTGCTGCCGCCTCGGCCTTCTGCTGCTGCTGCTGCTGCATGGCTGAGAGGCGGAGCTTCCTCGCCCAGTCGGCGAGCAGGCATCGAGTTGCCGCAGCCTCCTCCAGTGTGCCGTCCACCGTGGACGGGCTGTCCCGCAACGCGCGGGCGGCCGATGCCACGAGACCCTCAAGGCATTTTCCCTCCTTAGATAGCCTGTAATATTGGGGGGCGGGTTTGGGGGGTTGCGGGGGGGGGGGGGGGGGGGGGGGG